CTCCGCCAGCGGGTTTCGGGGCACGTGCGTGCGACCACCCCAACATCGACGGGTGAGGCCGCTTCGATGGGGCCGCAGCAAGACGAGGGCTTGGGGCCCAGAGTCCAGGACCGCTGTCGGGCCGAGCGGCAGTGGAGGCAGTATTTAGTGCTGTCGTACATGGCATAGGCGGCGTCATCAATCGCTGAAGCTCTGGCGGCACCGCTGGCGGAGGTGCTCTGGAACCGGCAACGCCGCCGCCGGCGCCAGCTTGGGTTCCCGGCGCCGATGCAGGGCGGCCGAAGGTCAAGGGCGGCATACGCTGCGTTGGCCCTGCCGCCCCCGCCGCCGCCGCCGGCGCTGGCGGAGGTGGTAGCGGCGGCGGCGGCGGTTCCGACGCCGCCGCCTTCGGCAGCGAGAACGGCCGCGCCGGTGCAGTGTCGGCGGACACCGGATGGCTGGTGTCGACAAGTACGGGCTCGGGTACGACAACAGCGTTTTTTGATCGATAGCTATGGGGCCAGCCCCGCACCCCACCGCTGCCACTACCGTTGCCACTACCGTTGCCACTACCGTTGCCACTACCGCTGCCACTACCGCTGCTGCTGACTCCACGAAACAAGCGAATGATGCTCCCTACATGTCCCGCTGCCTGCGCCTTTCTATGCTGTACGGCATCGCCATACGGCACGGTGGCATCTATACTGCCGCTGCCGCCGCCGCCGCTGCCGTTGCCACTACCGCTGCTGCTGACTCCACGAAACAAGCGAATGATGCTCCCTGCTTGGCCCGCTGCCTGTGCCTTGCCATGCGGTACAACATCGCCGAGCGGCACGGTGACGCCTGTACTGCTGCCGTCTCTGATAGCCAGCGCACTTCCAAAACCCCCATTTTGGGACCAGCCACCACTGCTGCTGCCGCCGCCATCGCCACTCCGACTGCGTCCAGCCTGGGGCCCGGCCTGCTGGGGACGTAGGCCACCGCTGCCAGCGCCGCCATTGTTGCTAGACCGTGCGCTCAAGCTAACGGGGGCCGCTGCAGCGACCAGGCCCGCTGCGGTAGGATCTCTGCGAGCTGTATTGAAGAGCCGCGAGTGTGATTGCGGCCTTCCGTCCCCGCCCGGGGCGCCGCTGCCGCCGGGCCCCCCGCCGCCGGGCCCCCCACCGCCGTCGCCATTGTTGGAACCTGGCAGACGGTGCGTGGCCCTGGCGGCTCCTTCGTTTCCATGTGCCACGCCGCTGGACTGGCATCCGCCGCCGCCGCCGTCCCCGCCACACCCGCCGTCATCGCCATCACCTCCGGGAGCCACGCCGCGGCCACAGCCACTGCCGCCGCTGCTGTCGCCGCTGTCGCTGATGCCACTCCTCCCGCTACTTGACGTGTGTATCCCGAATCTCTGCTCTGGAGATTCACTGGCGAGGGTCGAGGGATCGCCCGAGTGCGATGTCCCAGCTCGACTATCGAGTTCGACGCTGCTCCAGTTCGACGGATGCGACGCTAAACTCTCCGCCATGCGTGCGGACGACGCCGTCATTACTGTCGCTGGGCTGTCGTTTTTGGCATCTTCCGCCGCATTGTTCGCCGACGTGACGCCGCCAATGTCGTCGTCGTCGGCAGTGACGGTGCCTCCGCTGCCGCCGGCGTCGCCACGTACAGTGGCCCGATGGCTGCCGCCATTGAAGCTTCCGCTGCGGCGCGGCTCTCGGCACCCACCTTCGTTACTATTTCCGGCTCCGCTTCCGCCAGCACCATCTTCTCCTCCGCTTTCGCCGCCCGCTACGCCTCCTCCGCCATCTCCTTCGCCGCTTCCGCCACCGCCACCTTCGCCACCGACACCAGTGCATAGGCGGCTACTGCCATTACCGCTTCTGCCGAGGGACAGCTTCCGGCCACCGCCTCCCTCACCGCCTCCATTATTACCCCCGCACACATTGCCACCTCGTCCTTCACTTCCATCGCCACCTGCTCCGCTGCCCCTCTCGCCATTTTCTTCCCCCCCTCCACCTCCCCCTCCTCCCTCTCCCCGCCCGCCTTCGCCAGCTTTTGCTCGGTCAGCGGCTCCCTCACCGCCTCCGTTACCGCGTCCCCCTCCGCCTCCGTTGCTGCCGCCACTTCCGCCAGCAGCTCCGCTGTTGCCCGGGGCGCCGTGGCTGCCGTCACTGCCGCTGGCATGTCTAAGCAGCTTCCGAGCGCTACCGCTACCGCCGCCGCCACCGCCGCCTCCAACGCTGCTAGTCGTGTTGGGACTAAACGTGGAGGTGTTGCTGCGTGTCGAAGTGATTCCGCTGACCGTCATTGCCAAGCTCACGGCCTCAGGCTTAGTGCGAGCGTCCGGGGGGGCGGCGCGGCGGCCCAACAGCTTCTCGAGCGCCGTCCGCGGGGTGATGGCGGCGGCGAAGGCAGCCGCAGCCGTCGCCCATAACGCCTCCGGCGGCTTCGCCGCCGGCGGCGTCGTCACCGGCGGCGGCGGCTCCTCCGCCCACGCGACGGTGACAGCGCCTCGCGAGGCGGTGCCACGGCGTGCATTGGACGGAAGGCGGCTCAGTGGCGGACCTCGCTCGTTATTGGAGCCATGGGACTGTATCCCCTTCTTGCCATTGAGCATGGCCTTTGATTCCAGGCCGGCTCGCACTCGCAGGTAGAACTGCGATTGCACCGCATTGCGCACACCCAGGGGTTGCGACCCGTGGGACTGCAGTCCCACCCGGCGACTCTCTGGCCCCGTTTCAGCGGTAGTGTCCAGGTCATCGTCCAACATGACTTTCTGACGCTGATGGGCACCTGGGGAGGAGGATCTGGCGGTGAGATTAGCCGGGCTCGAAATAGCGTTGCTGAAGAGTTTTTCATCCATGCCATTGTCAGGAGTTGAACCGGGGTTTATTGACGATTTCCGTTGCAGTTGCCCCCGAATCGCCTCGGGCGCCGCATCTTGCTGGTCCCGTCTAGAAACCTGCCGAGAGAGCTGCCGCGACGGTTGTCGTGAGAGTTGCCGTTCCACCATCGAGCTCTGCCGGGAGCAACTTCTGCTGCTGTTGATGCTGCGGCTGTTGCTAGCGCTGCGGGTGATGCTGATAGTGGCGCCCTGGCAGCTGTTCAGTGGATCAAACTCCAGGGAGGTTTGTCGGAAGCTCTCAAGCCGGGTGCGCACCTGTGAAGAGGGGGAGAAGGAGGGGGACGCGGCGACAGGACGGGGGACGGGCTGAGAGGATGTGCGGGGTTTGGGTGTGTGGGTGCGTGGATGGGCGGAAGAAAGTGGAGGCGGCGTCCAAGCTTCCGAGGAGAGCATCAAGCGTTCAGGAAGAGGCGCAGTGCAGCCTGAAATCGCATTCTGCTTGGTGTGGGCACCACACCCTTTTTGACACCTGCTCGTTGACCTTTTCGAGGTGCGAACGGAAAAAGGATTCCACCAAGCATGCCAAGATGCTGTATAGGCCTCGCGACCCTGTTCCTGTTGGGTACGGGAACATCAATTCCACGGTAGCCCTACCGGAGCCCTACCGGAGCCCTAGGCCCTGCAAACTCACGCTCGAGATTGATCCGGTAATGTCCGACATCATCTCGCGAATCGCCTTCATCCACGAGTCGAAGTCGTTGTACAGCTCGGAGCCCTCCGCCAACCACCATTCCGGCGGCAGAACGCCGAACGGGCCGTCCTTCGACCAGCGTGCCGCCGCCGCCTCCACCGCCGCCGCCACTGCGTCGTCTACCTTGTCACTGCCGCTGCCTTCCGCTTCCGTATCATTGTCTGTTGCCGTACGTCGAACTTTGGACGAACCGCTCCGCCGCGGCATTCGCAGCGAGGCGCCGCTGACCCTGGAAGATCGATCCGACGGCGGTGGCCGCGGCGCTGCGTGTTGTACGGCACCGCCGCCGCTGCCAACGGATTTCAGGGCGCCTACGAGATCGGTTCCATGTGAACGAACTTCCAAGGCCTTACGGGAGGTATCAGTACCTGTCTGCGAACCTAAGCTCGTGGCCGCGACGGCGGCTAAAGCTGCGGTCGAGAATTTGGAGCCTAACGCCCCTTTGCTCCCCTCATCCGCACCGCCCGTGCCACTGACGAAGATGCTAGCGTTACCCCGGCGGCTATCCAGGCGGCGGAGGCTGTCCAGCGGGGCTCCGCCGCTGCCTTGTCTGCCGCTGCCGGTTCTAGCGCCATCTCCGCCACCGCTGCTGCCGCCGCCGTTTCCTCCGGCTCGCCGGCCGCTATTCCCACCGCCGCCCCCGCCGCCAGGCGTTACCACGTTTGGGCCGTCATCTCCGCCGCTGCCGCCGGGTTGGGAGCTGACTTTCCTTGTCCCGATAGGACGGCTCATGAGCTTATGAGCAGCTCGACGGATCTTGTCCAACACCTTTGCCGCGGCCCCACCAGTGCCGCCGCCGCTGCCATCGGCTTGGGTCTCAAAGTCCGTAACCGCCGTTGCTATATCAAGTTCTCCAGATCGCTTTCGCTGCGACGGCGGACCAGGACTGCGGCCCCCGCCGCCGCTGCCGGGATCACCAACCGCATCCCAACCGCCGTCCCACGGTGACACCTCTCCGGATTCCCCCAAATCGGGATTTCCGCCTGTGTACGTCTGCCGCCGCACCAAGGGCTCCCCCATGGAGGCTGAGATACTCCTCCGCAGCTGCGCCGCAGGAGAGCCTCGGGATGACGATGATGTCGGCCGGCAGGACAGGACTCGTCGCAATGGCAGTCGGTGTGACGACGTGGCGGCGGCCGCGCTGGCGGGCCGCTGGATGCTGGCGCTGCCGCCGCCGCCGCTAGCGGCGGCGGCGGCAGCGGCACTCGAGGGGCGGAGGCCCCCGCTGCCTGGTTGGGCGCTGAATGGCCGTTGGGGCAGAGCTCGCGGCCGGGAACCGCTGCGGCCGGCATGTGTACCTGCCGGGCCAAAAGCCGCCATTTGCAATGCACGCATGCTCTTGAAGGCCGCGGTGAAACCGCTCTCTCGGCTGAGACGCGCCCACACGCTCTCCTGGGCGATGTTGCTTCGTCGCTTGCTGCTGCGGCGGCGCTTCTGTCGGTGCAGGGAGGATGGGCTTTCGGCGGGGTGCTGCGATGGTTGGGTCGGTTGGGCGGTTGGGAGCGGCGGTGAGGAGGACCAGGGGCGCACGGTTTGCGGTAAGGACGGCGGGTGGGTTTGTGGGCGGGCGGCTACCTGCAGGAAGCAGTAGGGCAGCGGGCCACGAGACTGAGTGAAGGCGGAAGTTACAGTACAGACGTGCATATGCGGGCCCCCCCATGGCCCGCTTGGACCGTAGGTTAAACCTTACACTGGCAGGCAGTGTTTTTTTAAGTAGTATATTCCAAATAGGTTATAAATCGTGGTTTGGGGCTGGGAAAAAAGGAATGGATCGAGGCCGACGTGCAGGTGGCGGAAGAAGCGTAATTACTTAGTGGCCTGCCGGGCTGCCCCACCCTTTATGGGCACGGACACTGAGAGTTTTTGTGTATTTTATGTGCATGAATGATTCATGCCTGGCAAAGCATCCTAAGACCCTCACAGCTATGTGCACGAGGATGACATGATGGCGCGAACGAATGACACTGAGAACTGCACCACCTGTGTGTGGCTCTATTGGGGTTTGCAAGCGAGCTTGGAAACTTGCGAATTTATCGTGGGGTAGGGGGAAGGTGGGGGGGAGTGGAGGAGCCCGCCCCAGCGCCTCGCAGTTAAGGTGAAGGTGACACAAATAAACCCCAAATTCTATATCTGAAAATCTATAGTTGATAAGTAATAAAAAAATGACGTTCCCACATCTGCTGGCAGGTAACACAGCGCCATGTGTAACACACACACACACACGTACACACACGTACACACATGTACGGCAGCACAACGCACTGGCAGTACAACGTGCAGTACAACGCATAGTACAAGGCAACATGGTGCGCTATGTAAGCTTGTGGATCCATGCGGATACTTTGTTGGATTCATGCCATTGGTCGGCTTTTGCGGCTTGACAGTGCTATATTTGACAGTTGCGATTTCTGTGCGGTCTGCCAGTGGAAGATGGCCAGCCGACCAGTTAGTTAAGCTGGGGAATGCCAGCGGTGTGGGACACGGGAAAGGGCTGAAATTTTATGGAAATTTGCAAAGCGCAAGGAGTTTCGTCCTCTGCTGCCACCGCTGTTTTATTTGTCCCTTGGCTGGGAGCGGGATACATCAGTAAAGCAGGGCCACGTGACAGCCGGGACGCGGACAACAACTCCTCTCGAAGGCGCTGTCTTCGAGGCATCGACATTAACGAGTCTGCGTGTCGGTCGGGCAGCAAAACGCACAAAGGATTGAATTGAAAGCCCTTACATTTTCATCCTCCTGGCGCCGCCCTGCAGCTGAAGAAGATTGTGGCGGTGCTGATTCCGAAGCCATGCCGCGTTTGGTCTCCGTCGGCGTGTAATCCGTCGCGGAGTCAGCAGTCGCCTCCTCAGGCGCGTCGCGTAGGTTCATATCCGGCATGCCATCAGTGCTTTGTGCACTGGAAATGCGAAGTGTTGGTTGCGGCATGGAGACAAGCGCAGCGACGCGGTTCGTGTCCAAGTTCCCACGCCCTTCGGCGCCGGGACGTATACCCTCCGATTTTCCATCAGCTTCTGCCTGATGATACTCTCGAGAGAGCATGATAAGATGGTGCGGGCCTTAGCCTGTGGTGGACTGCCCTGGCAGGCTCATAACTGCGCTCTTGTGTCTTTCGAGGCTTTGTGTCTTTTCAGTCTCCCATGGGCATGACTTAATAGCGAAGATGTGATAATGGATCATTTTTAACTTCGCTAAACTTGGGGAAAACCTTTTTCGGGACGAAGGTCAATAGACGACCGGGCGTCTTTCCAAGTCCAACGGCAAACGGTCAGGGTTATGAAGCACTAAAACCATGGAGCATACGGTAAACACGTAACTCTTATCTTTATTGGTAATTGCTTTTTAGCCACATTTTACCAAGATATTTATTTTGCAGATTGCGTGTAGTTGCCCTCAGTTACCATCGAATCATCCGTTACTGTATCAACGGCGAGTTAAATTTGCGAAACAGCTTCAATTGTTTCTGGTCTTTTTACCCTTTTGGTGTAACTTCATTTCTGGAAGTGACAGGCAAAAGGTCAGTTTGCCGTATTGCACGTCAAACCTTATGGATTTTTATTCCTCTTTGCCAAGTATGATTGCACAAGAGTAGGGATTCCTGACCTGGCAGATGCACCCAGACGACAATTTAGGGGCTGCCCAAGCCAGTAAAAACCACTTCCACTGCCCAACGCTACAGCGTCCCTATTGTGCAGCGAAACGCAATGAAGAACCATGTAGTCACTAAAGGTTTCACCTTGGGCCTGTCGAGTCCCATGGCTAATGACTTGGCTTGCGTCGGCGGGAATAAGGAGACCTGGGAGACCTAGGAGACTGGATCCCGCGCTGCTAGGATTGCTAGCGCCCTGGGAAATATCCTCCACATGAAACATAAGGGCAACATTGGAAGAGGGCCGCTTGCGTCCTTCACCACGACCCAAATTCACGCTGGGCTGTCAAGGGCGCACTATGACGGCCCTGAGGGCCTTTCCCTTGGAAGGGAACATTGTAAATGGCTTGGCCGGAGTGTTGACATGCTGCCTGTAATCCAGCTCGAATAAATGTAAAAGCTCTACGTCAAATGCGTTACGTAGAATATGCTATAACAGACCTGCTGTTGGAGGTGCAATCATAGGGAAAGTCTTTGATTTTATTGGGCTACATCATTCTCAGTGTTGTGCGGGAGGCGTTCCTCGAAGCGCTGCACTCAACCCGTTCGGGGTCCACTGTAACAATCGCATTCTACTCTCATGCTCTAACGGATTATGGGGATATTATACATGCGGCAGCTGGCAGTAGCAAGGCTCGTTGAACCAGACCCGGATGACTTCCAGGGTCCACGCCGAGATGAAGGAAGTGCGTTTACTAGGCAGCCAAGGCTTGGACGAAGGACGAAGAACGGACCTCTCCAATGAGGATGTGCTGCCTCGCGACATACTTCCTTGCGGGCACTGATTATTACCTGCAGAAAACATCAAAATGTGTTTTTAATGGAACTTCAACGAAGGGGACTCTTCAGGTTGCTTTAACGTGAACAGGGTAACCTAAGTTTGCTAACATGCATCCCGTACTACGGAAAAGGGACGGCCGGCAGACATTGAACTTTAGCTGGACGGCCGCCTCTGATAAGGCGCTGGAAAAATAGGAAGAGCGCAAAGCTGCTGTGGGTAGTCACGGTGATGCAGAAGCTCCCTGAGGCCAAGGAAAGGGGGCCACCGCGTGATGCGCGTTCGGGAGCCCCCTGCCCACTCCATAGCGTCTGTCTGTCTGTCTGTCTCTTTGTCTGTAGCGACTAAACATAACCTCTCGCCTAACTGTTTAGCAACATTCGTAGCTTTCCACATCCTCCTTTGCCCCACCCCCCAGCCTTTATGACCGACAGAAAATCGTTTGCGTATATATGAAAAAGCTCCATGTAACAACAAAATTCGCCTCGCGCTTCTTGGGCTCAAAATTTCATAACATGAGATGCCATGAATCTTACGAACAATTGTAACATCATATGGTTGTGCCCAACCAATGATTTGGACAACCGCTTGCCGCGATCATCTTCCCACAAATAACCATTCTGCCGTGCCTGTCGGGCCGAGGACCTTTGCGTTTTCCATATGACCTCGCTTTGTCTGCGAGCTAACCTTTCATGCACCAAGCTAGCAATCAAAATGATCAGGACGTTTGAGGAGCCGCACTCAACGGCGATGCTGTTGCTGTCGGCTCGTACGTATGCGAAACGTGTGCCCGAACGAGCGCCACAAGTAAAACATTGTGGGCCTTACATGGCCAAGCATAGAAAGGCAGACAGGGTAGCTGTAAAAACTCCGTACTTGAAATCAATTATCGTGGATAGGTCCATCGAAAGGCCTTAATACACGAGCCTGTCGTAGGGGACCGTACAGCGCATGCTTGAAGGAAAGGTGAATCACTAAAAACAATATAAAATTATGAGGTTATAGCTCATTTTTATGATAAAAATTAGCGATAGCGATGACTGGATGGTGGACGGGCGCTTGCTTTCTTGGCAGTTTTCTCGCCTACCATTTTGCATCTTGTAACTGTTGAATACAAAAGCCATATGGGCTGTGCATGTCTCCGTAAATTAAATTTCTAAGCGAGCATTGCCCCGAACTCCACGACTCATGCATACACGAGCTTCACCGAAAAGTGGGCGTAACGAGGTAAGGCAACCAGATTTCGGAAAGTCGGAATTGCTTGCAGCGTTTTTTTTCCGGTTTTGAGGATCATGTGCGTTGACTTGTTCAATATTGGATACATTGACGTTCAAATTCTATCCAAAGCAAGGAATGATTCTTAGGTCCGAAGGTTAATCCCCGTGGATACATTATTCCTTAGCCATGAGCCATAGACGCTTGCGATAGCTCTGCCTTACAGGAATGCCGTCATCCTACAACGCTTCCTTCGTTTCCCGAATGCTTCCGGAACTTCCATGCATATCACAATGCCTGCCGCGCAGCCTTTGGCATCTGACAATTCCTCTAGTGCATCGCGCCAAATTGGCTAAAACAGATGGTGGTGAACTGAATAATGGCAGGGATTAAATTGGCAACAAGTCGATCACATCAACGCTGCGCAACAGCTGGGACCCACGATCACGCGAGCTACGTTGGACATACAACAGCATGAATTTCCTTATAGTAGTTCGGGCTGAAACAGTTGGAAGCAAGAACGTGTAAGTTACCCCTTGTTCGTAAACCAAGTGTCAGTCATTTAAGCTCTTTGCCTCCCGTACATGCGTTGGTGGACGTAGGAACTGTTTCCCAGTGTGCTCCCATATCGGATGAAAGACACAAAGCTCAACTGCGAACCCACGGCATCGAGTTCGTAATTGATATCCCTAAAAGCGTAAATTGGCGGGCATTTCTGTTAGATAGGAACGTTTGAAGGAGTTGAACCTTGGTCGCCTCGCCCACCATGCCGCACGGAAGCCTGGTTAACGACCGCCATGAAACAAGCGCGAAACTTTACTAATCGAGCCCGAACCCTTAATATATCAATTCACATATACATAACGGATTGATACTTGGGTTCAGTTTAGCATCCCCACCGGGTTCGCAGGTGTTACACGAACCTTGGTGAGGAGGGCTTTACGAAATTAATCTTGTGGAACTTGTCTATTTAGATTGAAGCTACAGACTGAAGGTCCAAGCCAGGCGGATAAGCTGCTTCCAGGGAGCAGGAACGTAAGTGCACTACGAAGCAATGTACTGGCACATGATCGTCGGCTAGAGACCCAAGCAATCGTTAAAATCAATATATACATTATTATTGTGCCGGATTCATGCCACTCGCGTTGCGGAGGTACAGGTAGGCGCCCCGGTGTAGACACAAATCACAGTTCCCAAGCCGTCCATAAGGATAATGCCCCTGGACGCACTAACCTTTACAGCTACAATACCGATTGGCTCTAAGTCAGCGCGCGCGAAGTGTTGACGCAACCTATCAATTCCTTTCTTTCGATTCCTGTCCTTCGCAACTCGCTAACAAATATGGGGATAATGTATTAAGCAATACACTCTATCAAGCAGATCTACTTGGTTTGTTTTATCCTGGTTGCTGCAGACCAACGCCACCTGATCGAGGATCGGAGCGAATGCTCTGCTGCCATTTAGGCGGCCATCTTGAAATGGGACTTCTCAGGGTAGTTTCGGAGGGACTTCGAAGACGCAAGTCGTGTACTGTCCCTGCAGTCTTGGTTCTGTGGGCGGCATGGCTTGCAACCGTCGCCTTTGCGCCAAAGGCCTCCGCGCAAGCCCCACTTCCTATCGTTGTTTACAATGACCCAAGGCCAGGCGACAGTTACGATGCTAACAGGAAAAACCTCCTCGTCAACAGTGTAAGGGTAAGTACGGCAATCGGTTTGTTACCGCAAATCCTACAAAAGCTTACTAGTAAGCCACGCTAAGCACTCGTCATCCAGCCGCTTCGTAACGACCCCTCGGGTATCCAACGATCTGGGGGAAATCCTTCCTCCTCTGCGATTAAGCACGCCGTAAGTCTGGCGCTTGAAACACGCGCGAAAATGGCACCATCACCGTGCATACATGCTTCCATACCAGTGGTCAGCATATACAGCCCTAACTGTTGTTCCATTTATTTGGCTGCGTTTAGGCGCGTGTTCCTGTTTGCGGGGACTTAGGGACAGTCCCAGGGTGCGCTTTGCCTAGCAGATACGAACGGCAAGGGCGGCAGTGCGCAGGCCGGTCGGTCGGTCGCGTACCGACGAAGGGTTTTTTAAGGGATAATAACTATTCTTTTCTTATCTGGTCACCAAGCTGTGGGTTGCGGACGTCTCTCTCTCTCTCTCTCTCTCTCTCTCTCTCTCTCTCTCTCTCTCTCTCTCTCTCTCTCTCTCTCTCTCTCTCTCTCTCTCTCTCTCTTTACATTTGCTAGCTTGCTGACGGACGGACGCACCGAACGAGTCTTGGGAAAATGGAGTAGTACGTTCTGATGCATCAGGCCATCAGCGACAGCAAGGAGGTCGTACGTGTCAGTAACACTCCGCATCGGGCCGCCGGGCCACTCAAGGGATCTGGTAGTTAGGAGTTGGCAGTTAGGAGTTGGCAGTTAGGAGTTGGCAGTTAGGAGTTGGGAGCTGGGTGGTGGCGCCGCCGCTACCCCCTCTTACTAATTAAATGCTTTCCAAGCTGACGGGAGTTTCCATCACCAATGCCTCATGTTGTTGCTGCTGCCGCCAGCAACCGCCTTCATGATGACCGTACAATCAGAGGAGCTGCGAGATTGTCGTGATTGTGGTGTGATATCGGGTTTCGGCGATATAGGGTACTGTACGGCACGACGTGCCGCGCCAAGGTTGGATAATCTTCTTCGCATTAAGAAAGGGATATCGACCCTTATAAAAATCATTCAGGTGGCGGTGATGGTGTTGGTGATGAGTGATGGAAAGCTGAACCAGTTGTCGCCCAAATCTGAAGCGCGGAATGTGTGAAGAGCCGAGGGCGGTTGGTGGTTGATGTTTCAGCAGTCAGTTTTTCGTTGCTGGCTGATATAGAAGAAGACGAGCAGTCCAATGAGCCTCCTGGAGCTATTGGGGGCCATGAGCCAAGTTGCGCGCGCGCGCGTGTGTGTGTGTGTGTGTGTGTGTGTGTGTGTGTGTGTGTGTGTGTGTGTGTGTGTGTGTGTGTGTGCTTTATGTATGCGCTTGTTGTTATTGTTGTCGTTGTTGTTGTTGTTGTTGTTGTTGTTCCAGAATGGGGGGCTTCTGGGCCATTTGCACACATTCAGATGCCCTTGTGTCTAGGATGGCACAGTGGTGGTTATCTTCACATCCCTTCATATTTCCCCCTTCCCTATTTTCGCTCGCTCGCTCTCTCCCACCCTCTGCCTCTTTCTCTCACCTTATCATTTTCTTCTATCTCATCTCTCCTATCTGTGTATCTGTCCTCCTCTCTCCTCTCTTCCTCTACTTATGTATACCTGTCTGTACCTCCTTTTTTTCTATGGCGGCGTGTTGGCCTCGTTTCCATGTCTTTTCCCGTGCCGGCCCCTCCTGCACTCTTTCCTACGCCTCCCTTACCCCACCCCGCCCGTGGCCTGCCTTGCCGCACTCTACCCTGATCCAACCGGCGATTGTGGACCCTTCTCCACCTTCCGCACCAACTCCGTCCACCGACCGACCCCACGGCGTGCCTGCACTCCTCCTCCTCCTCCTCCTCCTCCTCCTCGTCCTGATGTAAAAGGCCATGTCTGCTCTGGTGCCGACAGTTCCCACTGTGGTCTCTAAGACACCGCCGGCGCTGCAGCTGTCCGCCCGGACGCATATCATGAGCGTCACCACCCTCGTGGACTTAAGCGATGTGAGATGCTGCTGGGGCAGAAGAGGGCGTGCGCATGGGGGGGTGTAGCGGTGCGGGACTAGGCAGCTCCTGGGAGCACCTTTGGTGGTTTAGCTGGAAGGACAGGAGGTGTACGTATGTATGCACGTGTTTGTATGCATGTTTGTCCGTCACGTGGGGTGCGGGGTAAGAGAATGGAAGGGGGGAAGGGATTGCGGTGCAAAGCCACGGCATTACGTTCCGGTCGCATGTGCGTATCCGTTTTCATCCCCACGTGCGCACATGTGGAAGATAGGCAGGTATACACACAGCACACGGCACGCGGGCGGGTTGCACCAACTTTCACGGCACGCTGTTGCCCAGGTTGCATCCTCAAAACGCGGACGCATTCCTTCCTTTACAACCTGCAAACCTTCTTCTCCACAACAGTCACCAACCTTAGGCCACGATAACTTGCCGTACATAAAACGCCGCACATGCCCCTTTCGTACTGCAGGATAATAAGGATGCCTTGATAGCTTTAATTGACCGGCCAAACAGCATGTTGGTCCTAACGGCGGCGGCGGATACCCCCATCGATTACAACAACTGCCTGAGCCTCTTCTTGGGCGAGTCACCCGATTGCAAATGGGTGAGGCCTCCCAAGGGTTGGGTCTGTGAGGGTAAATGGATCGGGGTAACCGCGGCTGAAAACCATAGCCACGACCTGCTCGCGGGCACGAGCACAATTGCGCTCCTGGGGTGGCTATTCTCATTAGGTTGAAGGCATAGGAATTAGGCGGCATGAGAGGGGTGGCGTGTTTTTTGCGCTGTGCTACATAGAAAGTTCGGCGCCTGTGTAGGCAGGAAAGGTTTCTGGCAAGGCGAGGAGGGAGAACGGGTGGCGGCAGCATGAGCATGCCTGCTGGCGGGGTGATGGTAGGAAGAATGGGCGCGCTGGCCAGCATTTTTTCCTGTCGTACACGCTGTGTCGCTACGACTTGATGGTGGGTCAGTGATGCCATTCGGATGACTGGAGCACAGGGTCGGTTCGCTAATTCGGCAGTTTGTAGAGCCGTACGCGGACATCCGCGTGCAGTACGGCACAGCCCCTTGTACGGCAGGCGGTTGTTATAAGAAGGTGATGGAGCAGGCAAACCCTAGGACGTTAGCCAGGATGCCTGCTCTGGCTGCTATCTGGCCAAGGCGTGTAACCCAGGCGTGCTCTAATGTTCTCCCCTCCCCTTGGCCCCCTCTGTTTCTTCGGCGTTCCTGCCCCGCTTCCAAAGGAACCGGTGAAATTCGCTGCCAACCTGATCGCCGACATTCCGAATGTGGCCGTGACGCTGTATGTGGGCAACGCCCAAGTTAGCATCACCTCCTTCACCTGTCGACTTGGTGAGTCTGGGGGGCTATGTTTGGGCGGAGCGAGGGAGTCAGGAAGGGAGGTAGGGAGGGAGGGAGGGACTTGGTGCACCGTCTGGCCCTCCTCTATGTTTTTAAACCTCTGTGTTTGACGCACCGTGATCTAGTGCTGCTAAGTGGTTAAACCGTTTTCCACGGTATGTGCAAGGTGAGCTTTTAAGCTTCTCGGTTCTGCCGTACGTCCGAGTACTCAAACCGAGATACTATCCATATCTTCGCAAGCACAGGCTTCACACGCATCAGATGGTGCATCCTAAATCCTGCATCCATGTATTTCGTGTTTATGTCCAAGGAAATTCCAAATCATTGAGCACAGGACGGACAGCCGCTTTTTGAGGTAGCCGGTGGTAGAGAATTCGTGCATTTCCCCCGGTAACGGCATGGCTCCTCTTGGCAGTGCTCCTCTTGGGCCCCACCTGGCCGCATTGCGCCACTTCCCTTCCCTCATGGCCTCTTCTAACCTCTTCGCCTCATCCGATTACTCTTAGGGTCCTGTTGCCACGGGTTACGCCTGGATTTTACTTGTCCTTTGACCCCCCTCCTCCTCCACCTCCCCCCTTTTCTACTCCTCCTTCCCCCCTTCTCCTCCTCCTCCCACTCATCAATATCACCATCACCATCACCATCATCATCATCATCATCATCATCATCATCATCATCATCATCATCATCATCATCATCATCATCATCATCATCATCATCATCATCATCATCTGTATCCCGCCAGCTGATCTGTTGACTCCCAGCAGCAGCAGCAGACAATACAGTCCAGAATCCGTTTGTTCCACGCCCCCCTCTGCTGCCCTGCTGTCTCTTTGCTCTCCACCACCCCCCTCGGCACTCCGCAGGCATCCAGCTATACAGGGTGGCCAATGACGCCAGCAGCCCCGTCTACATGTTCCAGACGCCCCTTGGCGGCTGGGTCAAGCTGCTGGGCTTCGATTGGGGAAGTAGGTGGTCATGTTGCGAACAAATGGCACGGCACAGCCCCAGCCACCACAGCGGTCGTCGTGAAGGCCACGGCCTAAGACCCGAACCCGTTTCTAGGAACACCTCATTCACCCCGCACTGGTGCCTGTTCAAATCCCACCAAGTGCACTTTTTTACACCCGCGATGGGCACAATTCATTAACAAAGCGGCCCTCCACGATATCACGGCCCTTTGTCCGAATGGCAAGCGAATCCAACTCTTGGGTGTTGTGCCTGTGTGTGAAGTCCATGTTCACAACGCCAGGCCCTTGCTGACCCCGCACACCGGGCATCACCCATACAACCTCCCTTTCCCGAGTCTGTCCCTTTTCTTCCGCGTAAACGTGCATTGTATACCGTTAATCCGTACGGCATGTCACATAGTACGACATGGTGCGCCGGCGCATGTGAGGTCCGGATTTGATACACACAAACACACACAAACACACACACGTGCGTGCTCCCGGAATCACTGAGGTGGTTTTTACGGGTACCTTGGCATTTGAAGATTCAACATTGAGGAGATTCCATTCGACTTCATTTTTTATACTTAGGGTTCCCGCTGTACCGTACGTGCCTCTTTGCAGCCTTACATGTCATGCAACCTATTCGTGTGTGTTCCCTCCCAACTTGAGAGCGTTCTCTCCCCCCCGGCCCCCTCCCTCACACACAGATGCGAAGCGGGTAGAGAGCTGGCAAAATCTGCTGCTGTACGCTCCGCCAGCGCCACCGGCGCCGCTGCCGCCGTCACCGCCGCCACCGTCGCCGCCATCACCAGGGCCAAGCCCACCGTCGCCACGCCCGCGGCCGCCTTCACCGCGGACGCCACCTCCCCGGATGCCGCCACCCCGGCCACAATCTCCATCACCGCCACCGCCACCGTCGCCGCCGCCGCCATCGCCACCACCGTCCCCGCCACCACCGTCGCCACCGCCGCCATCGCCGCCGCCGCGTCAGTCGTCGCTGTCGCCGCCGCCGTCGCCACCGCCGCGTCAGTCGTTGCCGCCACCGCCGCCTCCGCCACCGCCGCCTCGCTCGCCACGGCCCCCGCCAAACCCCAGCCCACTAGCCCCTCTTCAGCCCGCCCCAGTCGTTAGCCCACCCAACCCGCCGTCACCGCCTCCGCCCCCTCGTAAGTCATCTGCATCCACAATATCACCCATCTATGGCACACGCACTTAGCACCCTTACTGCGTCCGTGCAATATAGCTTTTCTAAGAATTCTCGTTCGCTGCGTCTACTTCGCGAGCTAGCCAAGCACGCTCGCGCTCCCGAAACGTCTTCCCTATTTTTTGAGCTATGGGTTATATGTAATATGTTCCTTCTCGTCCCTTTCGAATCCCCGTCCTTGTTGGTTCCTGCCCCTTTTCCCCCGCGTGTGCGGTCTTGCTGTGTCGCTCCTTGCCCTCGCAACCCCCTCCCCCGCGCCATGCACACACACACACCCTTCGCTCACATACCCAACGCTTGCCTTTCCGATTACTACGCTCCCTACCGCCGAATTCCCTTTTCGAAACTTAACCCTTTTCTTTTCCTTTGTTCCCCTTCTTTTCATCTTTCCTTTTAAAGCCGTCGACGCCGACTTAATCGTAATCACCGATCAGGTCGACCAAGTTGACGCTCTCCGCAAAACTCAGCTGCAGATTCAAGTTCTCGGGTTGTACAGCGATATTGGCAAGAGCGCCATAGTGTCCACAGGGCCTGGCGCAGCGTCCGTACAAGTGGTGTACGACAACACGTACCTGCGTCTAAGCTCAGGCAACAGGGCGGTGAGGCCGGGGGCGTTTGTGGGGAGAGAGCGGGGATAAGTGTTGGGGAAAAGCGGGTGGAGGGGGAGTAGAAGAGGTGGAGGTTGCTTGCACGGCAAGGATTGGAGGATTAGGGATAGGGTGATGCGTAACGAACGCATACTGTACGAGCAAAGAGCCTGGGTAACCGTTTGAAAAGCAAACCAATCTAACACTGGGCTAATTCCTTTCCTTTCCCGTCCAACCTCTCCCCCCCTTCCCGCGCGCTTGCAGGCACTGCGGAGCCAGCTGCTGCAGGGCAACGTTGTCGCGGTGGTCGTAACACCGGAAACGACTCAATCAGACGTGTCCACCATTCTGCAGAGCTTGCTGAATATGGGTAACTCCCAATGCACCAAGGTGAGGTTGGGGTAAGGGAGGGAGGGAGGGAGGGAGGGAGGAAAGGAGGAGAGGAGGAGAGAGGAAAAGCCGAGCCGTAGACTCGGCACAGCGCAGAATGCTGGCTGCACGGCAGAGTGCCCACGGGTACAGGAGCCACGGGGTCGCCGAGGGTTTGATTCCGCACCTGGGTGGACTGGACTGTGCGGCCTGGGAGACTAGGGCCTGGTGTGTGCGTGCGTGCGCCCCATCGGGGTCAAGATCTTCAAGGGGGACGTAATGTTTCCGATACCGAGGCTTTTGCTGCGACGTTATTCAGTAGCGACTCAGCGCACGCGACGTGTCCTTTTTGCACGGCGGCAGCACACGAGCCGGAAAGACCTAGGGGTGCTACAGGTGCTTCCAGTACAACACCACACGAACACCCCCAAGTGTATCGCCATTGGTTTCAGCAAGCACTGTCAGCACCCCGCGTACCACCACACTAAAACATCTCACCGCCACCCGCTGTGCAGAGGAACATAACTGCCAGGTTCTCGTTGGCAGTTGAGGGTAACGCCAACTTCGTGGGTGCGATGGACACCCCCGCCATCGATTACGACATGCAGGTGAGTCACGCTCGGCTCCATGGTGCGGACCGTGTGTGACCGAGTGTGTGTATATATGTGTGTACATGATTTCCATCGTTATGATGCCGTACATCGCCAATGGGGTCCTCGTCAGCTGCTACTGCTACCACTGCTGCCAACGCACTGACGGCAACTCATCTCAACTGGATTTCCCCTCCACCCCACCCACACACCCACACACAATCCCCCCACTTTATTTCACTTCGCTTCGCAGCCCGCGGATAACACGGTGGCCATGTTGTGTACCGGTAACGGCCGCCGGGTGATATCCGTCAACGGCAGCAGCGAAGCAGCGGTGTGGGAGTGGACTGTGGGCGCCGGCGTTCTCAGATTGGTGGGTGGCAGGTGCAGAGGGATTAGGAGGCGTGGTCAGAAACCGCGGTGATCCGGCATTCGTGCCACATGCATGCCAATTTTATTTTATTATTATTATTATTATTATTATTATTATTAAAAATATTATATTATTATTAATTTTATTTTATGCATGCATGCATGTCAAAGCTCTGTTATATCTGTTACGCACTATCATGTCTGTCTTGTTCACTCCTGTACACATTTATGGGGGGTGCACATAATTTTATTTGTATATACATATGCGTCAGTGCATGTGTGTACACATCGAGTGTATGTGGTGATGCCGATGCTGACAATGCCAACAGGTGGGCTACGACTTCCAGTCGGGTGGCTATACCACCAACAAAGTGAAGAACCCCGCGACGATCATCGGTCCGGCTGACAGGCTACGTATCGCGGCGATGGTGGCAGTGGGATATAACAAGGCGATGTTGCTGCCCCCCAACACGCCCCTCCCACCCAGGCCGCCACCCTCACCCCGACCGCCACCCCTCGCGTGAGTGTCGTAGGGGCTTAGCAGGCGGGCGGGTTCGTGTGCGCTTGTGTTGGTGCTTTTGGTGTGCTGGTGGTTTCCCTTGCGGAAACACGTCGCTCCTAGGAATACACACATGCACACAGTGCGTTTACATTGCTGTGCTGACCGTTGGGTGAAGAGGGGGAAGGCTGTGCGTGGGCTTTTACCAATCTATTTTACAACAGTGCCGCGTCCTGTTTTTATCGCGAGGTTGTGCTGATGACCCACAATTTTTCGGCCCGGCGCTTCCCTCCCCAAACCCGTCCCGTGGGTCCGTGTGCCCCCCTGTGTATGGTTTGTGTTCTCAGTCCCCCACAGGCACCCAGGAACGCCCCACGACCACCACCACCCGTGAAGGTCCAGGATGTGGTGGTGCTCATCGACAACGTCACCATGCCGGATAACGACAAGAAGAACAAACTGATTGTGAGCGGGAGCCGGGGTGGGGATGGAAGGGAAAGGAAACCGATATCAGAGGCCCTACATGACATGGTGGAGGCCCGGGTCGGGAAACAAGAAGAACGAAATTCTAATCCTGTAATCCAGGGGAATACGCGATCCCATGGGGTTCAGAAAACGTGCGTAAAAAACTGGGAAGGGAGGAAGGGGGGAGCGAGGCAGCAGTAGTAATATGGTTTAAGACTGTCGTACATTACGCTTACATTACGCTGTCATATTCTGAGCTGGCTCCTCATCGAACGTTGTACCGCCGCACATGCCGTACAGGATGGCATCAACGCCATCACAGCTGCACCGGGACAGTCCACGAGCCCAGTCGAGGGTGCGGCCGTACACGTGGCATTCGACTCGACGCTGGTGGCGCTCCCTGACCAGGCCCGCAGCGCACTCAAGAGCCTGTTGGCCTCCAGCTCGACACTGCTGTCGGTGGTGGTGACCTCGGCTGTATCGGATGCGGACCTTAGCCGTGTGCTCGCGGACCTTACCGGCAGGCCCCAGCTGTCCTGTAGCTCTGTGAGTTGATGAGTTGGGAAGCAGCCGGGACACGTGGCGGCTCTTAGGTCGTCCAGGGGAACAGGATGACGTGGCACCATGTACATTTGCCTCGTGTGGACCATGCACCACAATCCGCGGTGGTGATGATGGTGATGTTCATGATGATAAGGCTCGTTGCGACAAACGGGGATTGAGACTTAGGGACAAGAAACGGCCGTAATATAAATAGCCGATTTTACTGTACTTTTTTACTCTGTACTATTTTGCTGTACCTGTTTGGAGCGCAGTTCCAAGCGACCGCAGGTTATGGGTATATATTGGGGAACGAAAGGGTGAGGCGGGAATACAAGTGCCACGGGGATATGGTCGGATGAGGCAGCGCCCTTCACGACACATGCCGCAGTACAACCCGTACAATACTAACAGACATAGGACTGCCAAGTACGCGGCTACCTCCTGCGCACCTAGTGCCGTACATAGACTCGCGTCCCGGCCCCATGGACTTGACCACCACCACCACCACCACCACCACCATTGCCACCACCACCATTGCCACCACTGCCACTGCAGATGCCTGTGGGTGCGACCTCTAAGGTGGATCGCATGGTACCCGCGACAGACGACCTGCGGTCCGACGGCTGGAAGGCTCTGGATAACACCAGGGCTTCCAAGTAAGTGCTCACGGAGAGGATATTCCCCCGGCAAATCGCCCCGCGCCTCTGCAGGCTTAGGCTTAGTCACCGCACCGACGCCGAGAAACAATTGTTGCTGCTGCTGTTGCTGATGCGCGTTAACGTTTCCCTGGCAGTGGCAGGAACACGCACGCACGCACGCCTGGCGTGTTGGTCGTCAGCTTTAGATGTGCGAAACCGTGCCGTTGTTGTGTTTTGCATTCCCAGGTGCAACATTGGCAAGGTCATCTTTGGACTCAAAACCGACGTCACCGCAGCCATCGTCCATGATATCCCCGTCGGTAAGAGCCAGGACGACGTTCAAGTACGGCTGAGGACATGGGGGGTTGTGAGGGTGGCTTAGATTTTCTGAAGGGCGCTGTGGTTTGGGTGGTTGGCCAGGGCATAGCTGGGCAAATGCTGGACAGCTTTCACGTGCAATGCCGCTGTACCGAACGAAAATAAACCGACATACCGACGCGCCATGGACACTGGTACAGCGTCATTAGCCTGGGTACTTGCGAGCAGAGAGATGACGATGGTGAAGGTGCACCGAAGCGAGGGTTGTGGCGGTACTGGCAGAAGCCTGAGCTGCTATTGTGCCAGTACTGGCCACTAAGGAACTCGCGAAGTTGCCTGTGAACAACGGCCACCAACTAATGCATGACAATGAAGATCTTCGCTTCCGTGAAAAACCCAATAAACCCGTGGCTTTAGCCCGCTTGGCTTGTAAGAGCAGCCCGTTCTAAGGTACTCACGGCAATTTTTGCTCTTTCGTTGCCTTTTCTTCTTCCGCAGGAAACACCGCTGTGCGCCTCATTGGCTACGACTTCTACTCCGGCGGTCGGGGCGACAACCGCAAACCGCTGACCGCATGCGCCATTACTCCAAACCGTTTCTGAAGGACTAGCACACAATTATGGGCGATTATGAGTACAAGCTCGCGCAAGTGAGCCGGCCAGCCTACGCGGCCTACGAGCGAGAGGCGCACGCAAGGCCAATCGGCATCGCCTTTTGAGCCTTCGCAAGGAGCTGACGAAGCTTCTTGAACTGTGAATTTGATTCCGCGTGGTTGGAAGTCCCTTTACTTCCTGACAGTATTTTTTGGCCCTGTTCCTTCCTATCCACGAGCCTTCGAAAGCCAGGTCTATCGGCCATCTGTTGATAGAGACTTGCAGTGGATTGTGACTCAAGGGATTGGGATCTCCCTTGCTTGGGACATTGCTAGCGAACAATAGCGTAGCTAGGCTACATGCTCTTGTGCATGCATCCCGTAACGGGGCATCGTCTTAAAGGGAACATTAGTGCATTGGTGGGTTCCATGGGCGGCCGCGCGTTTTCACCAAACTTGTTGACCACTGCTTCATTCGAACACGAAATTGCAAATAGGGAAAAGGCCGTACTGGTAAGAGCAGGACAGGCCATAGGCTCCTAAACCGCGCATGGGCGGTACAAGGAGATGTTCACCAGCAGCGTCGCCTACAATGATGGAAATACGGAACGCGACCCATGGGACTGGTGGCTACTGCGCTGTAGGTACGCATGAGGTGGCATGTCATATTGTCAGGCGCAAAGCCCATTACTGGCACCGGAACGATCCACAAACAGCATCCTGTATGCTGGACGCGGTACTGGTGATTATACCGAACCCAAGCATTTCTAGGCTGGCTTGAGGCCACCCACGACGCGTGCTAAGACCCTGCTTCGGCAGTGCAGAGCACGAGTACGTGACATCTCCTGAACTGGCACTGGCACTGGGGTTAATGAAATGGTTTCGCAGGTGCGGCTCATTGTACAGCTGCAGCCTGCCTTGATGAGACGTCCTACCTGTCGGCAACAATGCTTTCAGTTCTGTTACCCGTATATGTATATAGCCGGCGCTCGTACCGCGCAAGGTCGGGTTTCCAATTTCTGTCCTTGGTGAAGTGGGCGTGCTCGCGTGCGTGTGTGTATCGTATATCTGTGTGCTTGTTATGCTAGAAGTATGCATGCTAGGTGGTTTTGCTGCTTCGCCCGCTCTCACGCCGTTGCTGGCGGGAAGCGTGCGCATAGGAACGGTGGGAATTCCCCTGCTACACGGGGACCCTCGCCTGTCCCCCAATATCAGGGGATTATTCAATTGAAGTATTGGTTAGACGAAGAATGTGTTCGCGGTCACGTGGTCAATGCATGTTTTCCGGCTTCTTGTCGGTGTGGTTCTCGATATGTAAAAAGCTTATGCACTGACGCGCTAAGGATTACAGTAAGGGCTTCTCCCGCGAAACTCCCGGCCCTTCTTCAGGGTTTGGCAAAGCTGGGTTCAGGCTTTGGTTCCACGTGGACTGAGTCAAACACAGATGCGGCTTGTATTCATAGGATACTGGACCGAGCCGTTCGTAAAGATAGGTACGCGTATTCCATAGAGAAAGGTTATGCGTATACATCCACACGGACGACAGGCACAATGTCCCATCAGGGACAACTACATCTTCCCTCCATAACAGTTAGCATACCAGGCAAAATAAGAAATCGGCTCAGAAATTATTAGTCTTCGTAATCTTTCGCTCAGCGTTTCACCTCGCGAAGTTAATTTTCATCCTTGCCGATGTTCATAAGCTAATGGTTTAGGAACTCAGCTCATGCCCCAATTCATAGGCTCCTATCACAAACAATAGAACAAAGAAAATGGATAATGCAAACAGCAGGCAGAATGTCCACGGAAAGCCGCCGCCGCCAGCCCCCGTTGTCACAGATCCTTGCTCTGTGTACACACATCGCTGATTAAGAGAATAAAGTCCCAACATGCCGCATTACATCTTTTGCACGCCTTCAGCTTTCAGTTCACGCTCGCGTGCGCAGCCTTGCGACCCGCGCAAAATGTGGCACAGGACTAGGTCGCAATGTATGCACAAAGCAGAACCACATTTCCATCCGACCGAGACCTAATAATACATTTGAGCCATCCTCGTGTTTTTCTACCCATCGCCTTCACCCTGCAGTACGATGCCGTGCGGCTTCGCTCCGGAACCTCCAGCTGCCAATCCAGCATGTAATGACGCTGCTGCTACTGCCGCTGTTGCCTTTCTCCTAAAAGATGCACTCACACCATCTCCAGCAACTTGCCGATCTGCTGTTGCGCCGCCGTGGAACTCCGGGCCACTTGCATCGCCACGCCCGGGCAGCGTCTGCCAGTCGTCACCGACTCCACCAAACACGCCCACACCCTCCCTCATAGGCAGCCACCCTCTTCCAGTCACTGCGTCGCTATTTGCTCCTGACGAACCTGCAGCAGAGCTTGAGAAGTTGCCCCGCCTCATTCCGCCATCACTACTGCTAGTTGAAACCCAATCACCCTGGCTGCCGCGGGCTCCACCGCCACTGCTGCTGCCACCGTCCCCACCCTCCTGAACCCCACAGCCGCTACCACGTCGTGAAGTTTTACCATTCCATGCAACTGATGAAGCCACCGCCGCAGCGGCAGCAGCCGCTGCCGACCGATACTCTGTGCCCCGCTCGAAACCGCCGTCCCCGCTACCGCTGCTGCTGCCGCCGCTGCCACCAGTACGGCGACTGGCATCATCTATGCCGCGCACAGGGGCTAGCCCCTGGGAGAAGGAGCTCTGTAGCGCATCCAATTGTTGCTTGATCCGCGCGAACATAGCTTCGCTGCGAAGGCTCTGCATCTGCGGTGTAGTGTTCGCGGCCTTAATAGCGGGTGCAGCAGTAGAACCACCACCACCACCGCCAGCAGTAGCTGCTGCTGCACTTGCATCCACCGCGGCGCTGCTGCGGCTGGAGCCGGCAACGGCACTCTTCACCCCGCCGCCACTAGCTCCCCCCCCGCCGCTCCCCCACCGCGCAGCAGCAAAGCCTGCGCCGGCCCCAGCACTCCCAGTAATGCCGTCGAGACCAGCCTGTGCCGCAGCTCCAGTACCACCTAGCCCGGTCCTCGTGCCCTCATCACCCGCTTTTGATCTCATGGACACCTTCCTGGAGCCGTTCCGCGCCAAGCCGGATGTGCTGTCCTTCCTGGGGCTCGTCTGGTCGGGGTGCGGTAATCGGTCTGGCTGTGCGGCTGCTGACCTGCAACCAACACCCGGAGCCCCCACCGCGGGCCCCGAGGATACGGAGGCGGCAGCCGCAGCCCGTGCCGCTGCCGCCACGGCTGACTGTGGCTGCGGAGGCGGTGCGGCACGGTCCTGTGACGCGACGCCCTTTCCCCCATGATCCCGTGCACTGGGTGGGACCGCAGCAGTGCTCGTTGTGCGGACAGCACTCCGCGGTGCAGTCCCGGCAGCACCCAGCGTCGCCGCGTTCACGGAATCTAGCAGGGAGGTGATTCCGACAGTGCGCACTTCACCGCCAGAGCGACGGCTAAACCCAGGTGAACCGGACTTTCCGGCTGCAGCCGCGGCGGCTGTGGTGGCGGTGGTGGTGGCAGTGGTGGCTGAAGATTGAGCGTGCGATTGTCGGCTACGCTCCGTATAGCGTGCTGTGCCTTCGCTGCTTCCGCCACCGCCGCCTCCGCGGCTCCCACCCGACGCGCCCACGCTGGTGGGGCTGGTGCTGCCGGCCCAAGCCGCAGGTTCATAATCGTGGATGCCGCCTCGCGGTGTGCCTGCGGCGCTACTACCAGCGCTGTCATTGCCACCGTCCCACATTCCGTGGAAATACGGAAGGCCACCGCTGCTGGTGGCGCTGCCAATGCCGCCGGTAGCGCCACCACTGCCAAATGCTTGGGTCACATACGGGCCCCCGTCGCCCTCAGAATGCATAGCCGTGCTGCCGCTTGTGCCAGCCGCTGCCATCACTGTTGCACCACCGCCCCCCCGCCGCACTGTAGCGGCACCAGCTCCGCCGAATGTGCCGCTGTACAACCTGTCGTACGTATCGTATGTAACGTCATTAGCGTCGTCTATGTCATTGTTGCCTTGCCCGTTATCATCCTCGTCATCGTCATCGTCGCCAGAGGCGTACACGCCAAAGCTGTTACCGCCAAGACCAGCCCCTAGCTCAATGTCAAGAAGCACAGACTCGTCATCGTAGTCGACACCAGCGTCCCCGCCGCCATCGTCTAACTCGTCGTCCGTACGCCAGTCACCCGCCGCCGTGCCGTCAGCAGCCTCCATGCCATCATCGGTTAGTTCGTCGCTGGCTCCAAAATCAAAATCCTGCATGCCTGCCAACCGCTGCCGCAAGCTCCGCACCAGTGATGTAAGGCCCTCGATTGACGTCGATGATGTAGCGCTACAACCATCACCACCAGGTCTAAGGACGGCACTTGCTGGGGTGATCGTGGCGGCGGCGACGGCTGCTGCAGCAGCAGCAGTGCTTCGGCTAAACACACCAGCAGTTGCCGCTGCAGCAGCACCAGCGAGAAGGGGACTGCTGGCCGCCTGCGTTGCGACAGCGGCGCCGCCGCCTGCTCCCGACGTCCGCACCGGCATGGGCGGCCCACGCGATACTCCACTGAAGAAGCCACCGCTGCCGCCCGCTGCTACTTCACGGCCCAGGCTGCCGACCCGGCCCCCCTGAACCGCCGCTGTGGCCTCCTCACCAAGCATGTTCGCAGTGCCTTGGCTTGGGCTGGCACTGGCACCCGCAGGGTCAGCAGCAGCAGCAGCCGCGGCAGACCTTGCCCGCATCCGGAACAGATAGGTGTCTAAGTCAAGCTGCGGCATCTCGCTGGCCTCTGCATCGATGCACCCGGGGTCCACTGTGGACGTAGTGGCAGCGGTCGTGGGGTGCGCCGGGTTGCGTGCGCCATGTGCGGTGGGGCTGCTGTCCAGCCCCGATGACCCCGACATTGGAACAGACAAGACATGGTGCAGACTTCGCCGGCGGGACGGAAAATCGTCGTCTCGGTGTCGGGGTGAATCAGCGGCCGCTGCCATCGCCGCCGCCGCCTTAGACGAGGGCTTAGCCACATCAGCCGCACCTGAGGCTTCCATGAATGTCCCAGTATGGCAGGCGGCGACCCGGCGTGACGATTGGCGGCCGACACCACCGACATGCACCTCTTCGTTGCTATCTTCCGACAGCTTTGCAGATACCCCCTCCGGTCCGGGGTTCACTGCAGCTGAGCGCCGGCTTGGGTGCTCCGCTGGGCTGCTGACAGAACGTCGGAGACGCTTCGATGTGCTTCGTGAGGGGCCACCGGCTGCGGCGCTGCTGTCGTGCACGGCTGCGTCAACATCGGGGCGTCCTGCAGCCCGGCCGCGGTGGTGGCGGGGTTTGGTTGGGGTGTGCTGGGCACCAGGCGGCTCACTTTTCGCAGCACCACCACCCTGTTCAGGCCTATCCTCTACCGCCACACTCTCGCTCCGGCTCCCATGAAACTCACCATCTCCATGCCGCTCCGAGACCGAATTGAAGCATCCCCAGGCCCTCCGGCCGCTTGAGCCCGCCGTGGCGGCACGAAGCTCACTAGCCGCAGCGCGTGCAGCCGCCTGCGCGGTGCGAGACGTTGCACCCGCTGCTGCCGCCGGCCCCACTGGGCTGCGCCTCCCTGCATCGTACTGATGATGCCCATGTTTGTCCAAGGCAACGCCCGGCCCCATGCCGGCCTCCTCGGCCAAGCCCCGCATTGCTGCAGGTAGCCTAGAGTTCGCAGATTCCTGGCGCGGGGCGTTAGTTGTCGTGTTGGTGGAGGCAGTGGTGGTGGCCGGCGGCCATGCGTCCACCACAGGCATTCCGGATGCTGCTGCTATCCCGCCAGGTCGCTGCCGGTAAGATTGCTCTCGACGGTGCTCTTGCTTCCTATCTTCATCACGGTTGGAATCCCGGACGCACCACTCCCGGTCCCGATCCAAGTCGCTTTCGTGCAATGACGAAGCGGCCGCGACGGTGGCAGTGCTGCTGCTGCTGTCACTTGTAGGCCTACTTGGCACGCACGACCCAGTGGCATGCAAACCGCCACTTGCTCCAGCAGCGGCAGCCGCAGCCGTCGCCATGGCTGCATTAAAGCGCGATACCGGCCCATGACCTCCGGATGAGAAGGGTGATGGCGCCACGCCGGCTGCAGAGCGCGTGAAAGGATTACCGCTCCTTGGTTGTGGTTGTGGTGGTGTGGCCGCGGAAATACACGCGGGCTCAGCCGGCCCAAATCCGGATGCTGGTGCTTTGAACTCCCCGCCCAGAGTTGCGCTGGGCAGCTCCGCTCCCGAGGGGTGCTCTGCCAAAGTCCTGCAAGGGGGAAAAACCTGTCTTAGAATAAGCATAGAAAATGGGTTTTTCCTCGGTGGAGAGGGTTTTATATGCTACCCTAGACTGCTGGTAGGCTCATGCATGATTTGCGGGTGACTTCAGGAGGCATGAGCGGGTCCTGAGATTATGCGATTTCTGCTGTGCCTGAAAGTGAAGAGTGGATAGATAATCTCATTGGTCTCTTCACTGGTCTTTTTTCGACTGCGCGGCGGCCCCCATACGCAAGCCCCAGGGCAAGGGATGGGACTCGGCTACCCTTCAGCCCCTCCCCATCGCCATAAGAACAGGCCCATTCACCAGCCTGTTCAATAGCATATCCTTGCGAGGGCCGGATCTTTCCTGCCACCTTCGCACCGGCGCTGTACATGGCATCCCACCCCACATCGCAATCCTCCAACACCGCAGATTACACACGTTGCCATACCTCTTCAGCTCGCTTGGAACTGAGACGACCTCCCCGTGGTGCGCGCCATCGCTACGCCAAGCGCTGGTTGCCGCAGCCACAGCCTGACGGGCAGCAGCCGTCGCATCCTGCGGCGGCTGAAACACACCTGCCCTTGCCGCCGCCAAATCAGCAACTTCTCTGTCCTGCCCCTCACGCGGCGTCACCACCTGCGCCCTGCGGAGCGCCGCGCCTTGCCGTGTCGGGCTCAGTGGCCGAGGCGAGTGCTTCTCCTGCCCTGCGCCTGCCCACAACCGGTCTTTGGCACTCGGGCTCTGCGACCTGGTACGAGCAGCCTGCGGGGGCCCAGGGTTCGATACAGACACCACGCGACCCGAGGTGCTTTCCAGGGAGACCGAGCCACTGTGGGGGTCCGCTGCAGACTGTCTGCCACGTTGCTGCTGCTGCTGCTGCTGTTGTTGCACAGATGCGGCCGGCGCCACCTACATGCACATGCACACCGGATACATGCCAGGTGACGTGTGTCCGGTGATGCTCCTACACCACCAACAATATATAAGCTGGTCCAACGCTGCAACGCTTGGGCGCATGCATTCCATGCATGTACATCATGACATGTGAAAACGAAAACCGAATGGGGCTGACTTCAGGGAGATATGGCGCCGGCAGTTGCAGACCACTTGCCTTCCTATTGAAGATGACCATTCACCATTCCGTCTTCTCTGGGGATGAAGACCTAAGAAGACCCCCCCCACCCGTCCCATCCCTCACCCCCCCTCCCTGACGCCCTCCTCTGTCGAGGCATGACTTTCGCCAACGCCGCGAGGCAAACCTCCAACCGGGCGATGTAAGTGCTCGTGCCAACGTTGCTGCAGCAAGCAAGCCCCTCCCGAACCCCTCCCTCCGCAAATAAAAAGCGCCCCTCAGCGTGCAGCACACAGCCTGGCATGCCGACTTCATAATAAACGCGTCACACCTGTTCAGAGGCGAAGAGCTGGTCGGAGCCAACGGCCGCAGCTGATGGCTCCTTGCTGCCGACTGCGGACGACCCAGCTCCGGCACTGCTGCTGCCTTGCGAGCTTGACCGGGAGCTGGGACCCGTCCGGGGACCCCCAACCCCAGCGGCAAAGGCGCCGTTGCCGCTGCTACCGCCAGTCACCCGCCTGCTGGAGTTACTTCTTGCTGGGGGAAGAGGATGCTCGTGAGCCGCGGCAGCAGCGGACGGCGACGGTGGAGCGGGCTCCCTGACCGCCGCTGCAACGGTGTTAGCCAGGTCGCTGAGCAGCCTGTCAGTGTACCCAGCGCATGCGGGGTAGGAGCTGGCGCTGAGGGGGCTCCAGGATTCATCAAGATCGTCGTCTTGCGGGAGCTGCCCCGAGTGCTGGCTGGGAGGGTGGGGCAGGCTGGGAACAGGCGGATTTTGAGCCTCCTGGAACTCCTGGCGGCCCTGGCGCTGCTGCTGAGGCTGTGACTCCTCCTCGCCATGTGCGCAGTTCAAGGGTGCAGGGTGCGGCCAGGTCGGCTGCTGGTCTGAAGTCGCAGGCAGTGGTGTCACGGCCACTGGCGCTGCCGTGGCGGTGGCCGTTTCCATAAGCCCCTCCAGTTGCTTCGTCCGATCATGAAGCTGCTCCGTGGCAAAAAGGTAGTCATCCACGATCTGGCCGTACGATTTCCTGTAAGGCATGTAGTGGCAAGATCCAAGCAACCCGATAGTATGGCGGTGGGGAAGGTGGGTTAAAAGCCGGTCAAGACCCTGGGACACGTCCGCTGGGAAGGGGAGGTGCAAGAAAACACTCGGCCTTCCCGCATGGTCGTCGCAGGTGCAAGTGTACATGTGTTGGATGGCAACATCGCTTTTGCCATAGTGCATAGCAGAGAATGAACGGGTGTAAAATGCTGGTAGCCATGGTTGCCGGTGGCTTGCTTCACAGCAGCGGAAGTGGGTTGGCAATGCACCTAAGGTAACGGCAGGAAACGAAGTATGGTTGGCTCTGCTCATCTGGCCTCGCGGAATGGGCTTAACAAGGCCAGACCGAAACCATAGCGTAACCGTGTCATGTCCTTTACGTCCCTTACCGCAGCATCGCTGTAGCTTGGTCATATTGCTCCTGGAGCTTGGCGCGCTCCATCCGCTCCGCTTCCAGCTGCCTGGTCAGATCCTTGATGCGCAGCTCGAGGTCGGCCGTGATAGTGCTGGCGGGATCACGTCCAATCGGACTGCCGTCACCACCGCCAGACGTCGCCAATGCGCCTCCAGCAGCACTGAATCGCCTGGCATTTGAGGCCTGCGGCGGAACACGAAGCGCAAGGAAGGTTGGGAGTCAATGGTTTTTGACAGTACCTGAGAACGGGTTACCTGTTGAACATAACGTTTCGATGGGGAATGGAGGGGGCCAAGGCGTGCACGCGTGGGGTCATGGCGGCCATATAATCAATGCACATGGACTCATGCAGGTAAAGCTTAGGTACAGCACGATTTGCCAGGCGATTTGGAGCTGCAGGGCTTCCATGCACAGCGTGCTTTGAGTATGACAAAGAACTACCGGTGACTTAACCCGTATGCAGTAGGGGACTCACCATGTCGTTTGCTTCCTTTTGAGCATTTGCAGCTACCGTCTTCAAGGAGTAGAACAACACCTGATCGGCACGCCGCTAAGGGGTCGCGTCAAGCGCTCATGCGGACGGGGCAATTTTGTCCCTGTCCTACCTGGAGATCAAGCACATATTGTTGTGCGGACGAAATTTCGTCCAGAACCTCTTGTCCTGGGCCCCTGGCACTGGAGGTGGAGCCACCTAGAGTTGACATTTTAGTTATTCTTGGTCTCCGTTCCAGCAGCTTGGCCAATCCGTCTATAATGCTATCCGATAGAAACGTTTGCCAGTAAAATCGTTTGCGCCCGTATCAGGGCTTACTTCTTGCAGCTGTCGCAGACATAACCCCCGAATGAAATGTGGCACCATGGCCAATGCCGAACCTGTCAGCAGCGCGTGATAGATTTTGTTTAAAATTGTTGCAAGACAGAGCTGCAAGGAGCGAATTCATTGGTTGGGGAAGTTGATTAGGCCCATTTGGAATTTTGTCCCGGGAACGGCAAAATGCAGGGGACAGAGTCTCAAACTTCTAGGGTGATCTGCTACATTACTAGTTTATTCATTTCTACCTAATCTTGTGTTTAACGCTTAGGAACTTTATCGCTCGCCCCATCTCGTTGGCGTGCAGCACACCTTGGCAGTGCTTGTAATCTTAGCTTTATCCAGCACGAAACGCAGGACAAAAGCATAGATAGCTGAGTGCCGCGGTGACAGGTGCTTTCGTTTTCGGGTGGACAGAAAGGCAGTTTCTCGTAGACCACCTTCACGCCTGGGCTGCCCATCATGGGGCAGGCAATTACCAAACTATTTGACAAAATTTTCGGGAACCGCGAAATGCGGGTAGTGATGCTGGGACTAGACGCTGCTGGCAAGACCACTATCCTTTATAAACTCCACATTGGCGAAGTTTTGACAACCGTGCCAACTATAGGTGAGATCACTGGTGTTTTTTGTTGAGCCGCGGCTGCACCTTGATGCGTACATATAAGGAGATGGGCGCGCGACGCGCGGGCGTGCGGGGCCAGTCCACAACGGACTGCGAGCGTGTGTGCACCCTTATACTTCAGCTCCGCCTAGTTCTGTGGTAAAGCTGGGGCAGACCTTGTATAGGCAACAGGCCCCGCACGTTAGTCCGAAGTTTTTCTTGCACGCGTTTTACGCCTCCACTTCTCGTTTGGCGCGGGTGCTTTGAGGGTTCTCAGTGCTGCAGATGCCACACCCTCACGGACCCGGACTCTGGGACAGAGGGTGCCGTGCGGAGCCTCGCATATGTGCCCCAGTTGTTGTACGTCAGGCCCTGCCTTGGAAAGTCGCTAAGGACATGGAACCCGCCTCCCTCGCGCACACACATCCCCGGCGCCCTGATGCAGCCCCAACTAGCTGACGAACCTCGCAACGCGCGCTGCCCGCTTCACTGCTGGATGCAGCGCGCCCGAAACACTCCTAATCCAAACACCTCCTAATCCTTGACTCTGCCTGTTTCACTCCGCACATCATGGCCATCCAGTACGCACCGCCACCGGCGGACCGAATCCCTCCTTGTCCGCCCTAACCATGTTGTGTCTCCCAGAGCCCTTCCGCACCTTACATCCCATACCCTTCCCTCTCCCGCCTCGTTCCATCCTCCCCAACTTTTTTCCTTCCCCGCTTATGTCCCGCAATCATTTTGTAACAACCCTTTCGCTCCCGTCTTCCCAACCCCCCACCGCTACCTCCTTCCCTCCTGCCAGCCAACGTCACTCGCCACCCAGCTCCGAATCCTCACACATACGCATCTCTCCCCCCTCGTCTTTCCCCCCCCCCACACACACACACATTCTTCCCCACTCCATTCATCCCCCGACCCCACGTCCGCGCGCACTCCGCAGGTTTCAACGTGGAAAAGGTGCAGTACAAAAACGTGGTCTTTACTGTATGGGATGTGGGCGGCCAGGAGAAGCTGAGACCGCTGTGGAGGCACTATTTCAACAACACGGACGGCCTCATCTTCGTCGTGGACTCCCAGGACCGGGACCGCATCGGCAAGGCGGCGGCGGAGTTCCAGGCAATTCTTCAAGACCCGCTGATGCTGCACTCGGCCATTCTCGTGTTTGCCAACAAGCAGGACATGCGCGGCTGCCTTACCCCTCGGGAGGTGTGCGAGGCGCTGGGATTGCCCGAGATGCGCAACCGAAAGTGGCACGTGCAGAGCTCCGTTGCCATCAAGGGAGAGGGGTTGTACGAAGGACTCGACTGGCTTGCAACTACGCTGAAGAGCTCGAATGCGGGGCGCCCTGTATCTTAACTACGTTGCGGGAGGGGGGTCAGGGCCCAGCTGCTAGGTGACGCGCCTACTACCGCAGGGGGCATGGAGGCCAGGACGGGGCCTGGAGTGTGTTTTGCTGAAAGAGCCGTGCGGGGGAGAGAGAAAAGGCGACTAAGGAAGGAAGGTGATGTGAGGAGAGGGGTGTTTTTCGTTTGCGTGACGGGAGGGTAGGAGTCACGGATTGGGGGGAGAGTTTTGGTGTTGTGCTGTGTGGAGCCCGGGTTTCGTGCATGCATATTGTCATGATGGGCCAGTGAGGGAGCTTGGGGATGGATGGGAGTTTAGATGGGCTTCCCGGAGGACACCCCTGGAAAGGGGTTCCTTTTTCCCCAACCTCCCCTGCCGCGGTACGTGTTGACCTCGTCCTCGGGGACGGGAGCTGTAACCAGTGCGGAGGTTAGGGGGAGGCGGCACGTGGCGTGTATCAGTGAGTAACAGTTTTAGGTTGGTTTGTGGCTGCGTTACGAAATACGAAACGAGCTGTGTTCTTGTGCATGTGTCAGTGGCAATGGCACCCAATCTCATGTCCATGTCAGGAGGGCGGGCACGCTGCACGCCGTGGCGTCGCAGTCACCTTCCCCTCCCCCCGCCTCTTTCACCTCGAAGCGCCGTGTCCTTTTTTTGCCGCCGGGGCTGCTGTGGATGCGACAGGGGCTCAGGGAAACACGGCTGTTCTGCGCGCTATGCCTCTTGCGTTGTTGCATCTACAACCCAATAAAACGTACATACCAATAACATAGCTTGGGTGTGCGGCAGCCACTGCGGGCTGCTTCGCGTTGCAGAGTATCTTGAATTGGGGAAATCCGGAGTGCGGCGACTGAGGCGCTGAAAGACCTCTGCCTTGTTGAGGTCCTTCTGTCATGCCCCGCTTGGCCCTCATCCGTGTTTAACACGTGCCTCGCGCTGTTGTGAGGTTCCCTTGTTCCCTGTACTGGGTCTTTGGCATACGTGACATGCTGCGGCCCCGCAAGGGTGTACGACAGTGAAGTGTTGTGAAGGCTCTCCAGCTGTTCGAGGAAGCGGACCGGACCGTGGGGTCGTCGTCGTGCGGGCAAGCAGATGGAGTACCCCCACGGCTGTTGGCCTGGTCATATCCGTCCACTTTGTGGCTTTTGTCGCGGTACAAAAACGAGGGCGGGGCCCTCACCGAGCAAGTGAGTTGGTGGGGAGCTCCTCGTTTTATATGGAGGCGCAGAATCTTTATCAGGAAGAGGGCGGCAGTAGCAGCACCAGCAGCGAGTGGTGGGCAGAGGGGATGGGCGGACGGACGTGTGCGGATGTGGAAGCGAATGTGGACTCATGGAATAATGGACACGCCGTTCTGCGCCCTGCCTAGCCTGCCACCTTGAAGCGGGTGGCACTATGGTACGTGTGCTCGGCGACTCTTATCGGCGCTGAAAGATACTGCTTTAGTTTCATAACTGTGTTAGCATAGGAGGCGCTGTGCTGGTGGGGAGTCAAACGACACTCTTGTGGCAGGAGACTACAGTCATAACGATATCGTTTGCTGCTCATGGTGGCTTGGCGGTGAGGGTGCTGCTGCTGCTGCTGCTGCTGTCTGCGCCTGTGGTGTTGCGGACTCGGCCGCGCGATTTGACCTTCTGATGAAGGGGCCACAGCCAGGCTTGTGTGCCGTGTGTCACGTCCTCTAGGATTGATGCGGTCTGGTGGTATAGAGTACGCAGGGCCCTGGCTGCGCCGCTTTTGTGGGTGCCGCTTGAGGTGCATGATGTTTGCGAGTGCACGATGGTCTGTGTAAGGCTTTTAGGTGATGTTGATGGTTCTGTATGGAAATGCTGTTGAGGGACCGGGTCGGTGAGCTCAAGCGCCAAGTGGGTTCGGGCCCCGTGATGACACCTCTCTCGTTCCTTCGGCCTTAAGGCGGGTTGGAGAGAGTTGGAGAGAGCCCACGCGGGGTAGCACAAAACAAACGGTCTCCATGCACTGGCGCGCGCAAATATTGTTCATCAGGTCAGCTTCTATACAAGGCCGACACCAACCGTACGACGCTGTATCGGTCGGTAATCCGTCGAATTTTTTTGTTGGTTCCAGTGGCGGCTGCAGCTCCAGTTCCTTCGCAACTCATAAGTCATCATATCGCATTTTTAAGGACTAATCTAGTCTAGGTTCGATCCAGTGGTGGTTCCGTCAAAAACCCGAATTCGCCAGCCCCCCCCGGTAAGTCGACACGCACGCTCAAAATGCATATCAGCACCTCTTGATGCGAAGAGGAAGCGCCGTGATGAGCCGTCATGGGGCGAGGCGCATGAATGTCAAATGCACATGTCCGTTCACAGCCAAGAAAGCTGTTCTCCCCGCAATGCCTTTGAATGCTTGTAGCACGATCTGGTATTAGACTTGCGAAATGGTGCCCCGATACTCCTCCTCGCATAACACATGTGGTATTGGCTATTTGTTATTCTATTGGCACATTGTCAATGCAAACATCCTTACGTAGGCTCTCTGTCTGCATCCTTAGCTCTCAAATCTTTAAGATCTCTCACTCACATACGCGGCTTACACTCACGCACACACATACACACACTCACACACACACTTACACACACACACTCACACACACACACACACCTCAGCGACGCTTCCTAGTAATGGTTCCGCAACCACACCGTCACCGCAACTAGCACAACCTGAATCCGAGCCCTGACTACCCGGAGCGCCCCACACGTGCTGTGGGTCCTCCGCACAAGAAACTGCAGTTTACATCCCTTCGCCCGGCTTGAGCGCCGGCTAAGAGGTCAGCCAGGAGGACAACATGCAGCTAGAAGAGACGCGGTCTTCGCGCCAGCAACGTCGCGCGCCATTATTACAGCGCTCCCTAAGCACCTGCGTGCCCGCGCACCAATTTGGTTCGACAACAGAAACACAACTAGGGCACCACAGGATATTATGACACCGCAATGTGCCACACCTCAAAGAGGACTCTGAACGGGGGTCCAAAAAATTCCGAATTTTGAGTACCATCAGAATCACAGTCGGCGTCGTACACGCATACATACACGCATACATGCACGCATACATACATGCATACATACACACGCGCGCGCGCACGGCAATTAACGAGCCCCAGGACATCCCTGCAAACGCCGGCTTCGATTAACATTAGGGTAACCCCCGGATGTAGCTTTATTGGAGCAACCGTTAATAAGCCGTTGGACAAGCTTGGTACGACACCGTCATTGACGGCTGACGTGGACGTATCGCCGTACGACCGTAGACGCCAAGGGCTCACGCATGCGGGCAGGATCCTCAAAGCCGGCGGGCGGCACCCGAAGGAGTTTATCCAAAACTAAACACTATGCGTGGCTGTTCGTGGTCGGGAATGTTCGATGGTCCGAGCCGCGATGAGGGAAATGGTCCCGAATGTGAGCAAAAAACAACGTCAGGTCAGTTCGGTTTGAATGGCGGCTGCATACATGCAAAATGGTCTCTTGTAAGGTCCTGTACGGCACCTGCAGGTGTACGGCTACTGCTACTACAGCGAGCTAGAGGAACCCACCCACCCACCCACCCACCCACACCCATTCACCTGCAACACGATAAACGTCGGCAAATAGTCCTCTCACACACACATACATACATACATAAATATAAAGTGGAATGTCAGTAATTTATATATTCATTGCTATGCGGTGTGCTGCTATCGCCATCATCGCTATGATGTGCACTTGTGCAGTTATCATTATGTAGTACGACACCACTTGTACGACAGCTTCACGGGATACGACATCTACGCGCTGGACAGTCTTCAGATGGTCGACGTTCTGAGGCCGCATGGGACGGTGAGGAACCAGGGGCGCGCTATGGCGGGCAGGGAACGGAACAACGCTGATGGGTAACAAGATGCAACAAAAAGTACGACGCGCATGAATGCACGGAGAGACGAGACAGCGCACGGCATGCCGTACAGCCGTACATCATTGCAGCAGCGCTCTACGTTTCCTGCTATAGGCATAGCTTTGCACATATAAACATCAGTTCGCCCTGTATGGCCTTTCCACCAGTTTATTTATCTCCCACATCTTGAACTCCTGCCACTCGTTTCAGCATGTCATGCAACGTCGCTCGGCGCCGCAGCCCGTTACGCCACTCGCAATACCGTCGACCCCCTCCCCCACTACCCCGAAACCGCCAGCCCTGTCCAACTCGACGTCATTGGGACGGCTTCACAAAAACACAGTCTTCTGGGAGTTAACGGGCTGCCGATGGATCTGAATGACGGCCTCATCCAAACCCTTGGCCTGCCACCACCGCTCCAACCCATGCCATTCCCGGGCCGCAGCGCGGCTGCCGCCTCCGCCGCCGCCGCCGCCGGCAGTGGCATCCGTCGCCACCGACGTCCTTGAGGCCTCAGGAGTCAGAGTGTACGACTGCGGTGGCGGTGACGACGAACACGATGGACGCGGTGCGCTGAAGGCTCCGTCGGCGCCGCTAAGAGACACCGGTACCGGCTCAGGGCCCCCGCTGGGTTCCGCCATAAGGGCCCCGCCGCTAGGCCACGGCGGCGACAACGGCGCCGGCGTAGGGCCGTACGACCGACCACCGTCTGCCAGCGGATCGGCGCAGGGTAAGGTTGTCAATGACTGGCTATTGCTACCGTACGACGCGGCCATCGAGGCTGTCGTGTAGGCTGTGGGGCTGTCGCTACGGCCTCCACTGTTGCCGGCGGCGGCGGCGGCGCCGCCGCCGGTTGTCGTACCAGGGGAGCCCTTAGCTCTTGAGTGCAGCAGCGTGCCGTGGTTGGCAGCAGCTTGCGAGGCGGCTACAACTGGTAGCCGGAGCACCGGCGCTGGCCGTCTCACCACTAACCGCGTCGTGATGGTCGGTGGCGGCGGTACGTAGGGCAGGCCACGCAGGCTGCCGCCATCCGCGGCTCCGCCACGTGAGCTGTCGTAGTTGCGTGCTGACGACAGCGGCGAAATCGTCACCATCGCCGCCGCCGTCGCGGATGTGGGCGACGG